ACTCAGAACTTTTAAGGACCTCAGCTGCCTTTCCCTTAATTCGGCGACTTCAAACTCCAAGTCCCGAACGTCTCGAAGTAGCAATCCTGCTCCTTGTTGACTGCGCACGGCTCCACTTGATTTTTCACTTGATGACTAATACTTAATTACCGGTAATAAAAGACTCATCCAGCTTACAGCGCCGACCCACGGCAGGGTCCGAAGTCCGGTGCTGCTCTGTTACTTCCTTTTCCACCAGGCTCGGTCTCTCTCCTGTTGTCGTCTCTCTCTGACTCTTTCTGTCTCGTTCTGTGCAAACGGCACCACACTCTCTCGCAGCAATTCCATTACTAAGGGTGAATTCGTTGCGTATCTGGCAACCGGTAGGCCACTGCATGCGCGATTGCTGGACTGATTGCTTTTATTTGTGGGGACTTATTCAACTCCTCACATAATCTATGAACATCATTTGTCTGCTATTAAATCTGTTCTATCTCTTCTTTCTGGCAGGGATCATAAGATTGCTTTGGGTGATTTTAATTTCCCAGATATATCTTGGTCCTGTTCTGTCTCACTTCTTTGCACGCCTTAATCGAATCATGACTTTTTGATGATGGCCTTTAAGATCTATCATTACAACGAATTGGCTTTATCCGTAACTCTCTAAACAGGCAATTAGATCTGGTATTTGTTTGTATCTAGAATTGATCCCCTAGTTGTCCCAGAGGTCCGTTACCAGCCCCCAATGTAGTTGAAAATATCCCTGCCCTGCCCTGCCCTGATACATATTCCCATTTAGTTTCTCAAACTAGAACGAGATGCTTTCGTAAATGTGACTTTAATAAGCTGGACAAAACTGGGGCGCCTACTGACTCTGAAACTACCTATAGTGCGGATTCTTGTCTAAATTCAGTTTGCCCTTACAATTTAAACAGGTTAAATTATATTTTTTCTTCAATAATAACAGAAAGTTCTCTTCTAAAGGATTTTGAGATCTGGAAAAATTCTTTTATTATTCCACTCCATAAAGAGGGAGGAAAGCCGGATGTTCAAAAAGGATAGAGGTATTTCTAAATATAATATCACCTTATTAACATGGTTTTGTGAAGCGAAGGTCTACTACCAAGAAGGATTTAATAACAAAGTTCAGACTGATGTTATATATACAGATTTAAGAAAAGCTTTTGATTCTGTTAATCTTTAACTTGGATTTAAAGTTATTTGAATGGAAGAACTCAGAGGGTTATTTTTAAAAATCCAGTTTTCAATATGATTAACTTTACATCTGGAGTGCCTTAGGGATTCATCAATGATCTTCTTTCTGTCATAACACATTCTCGAGTATTAATGTACGCTGATGATATTAAACATTCGGTATAAAAATATTGAAAAACTTTGGGAAAAAAAACAAAAATTCATGGAAAATGTTTTATGTTTATTTAGATTGATCCTTTACAATTCATTTAAGTTAGTTTTTAAACACAAACTCGATTAAGTGACTACCTTTGTTCTTGATAGCAAAAAGTGTCCTTTTTAGTGCATTTTCCATGACTTTCTCATGCATATCTGCCGATATATTGGCCATTGCGAATACTCTCCTTGAGCTCTGTGATGGTCTTGGGCTTGCTTATGTATATTTCGCTTTTTAGATAGCCCCACAAAAAGAAATCCAGCGGGGTTAAGTCCGGCGAACGCGGCGGCCAGTCGCCTCTGTACTTTCGTCGATACGCACGCTGCGTTTTCACTATTGGACGCCCATTTTCGATAAAAAAAATCACCACTTCGATACGTTCTTTTGGTGTTAAGTAATTCATGGTTCAAATTTTGCTGACTTGACGTTTCCAAAACGTACCTACACAAGCCAATTGTTTCACAAACGTCAAAGCTATTCAGTGTTTGTATACCGAAGCTCGAGATGGCGCAGCCTGTATAATAATTTGCAATCGGGTTCCGGTTTACAGTCTGATATTGATTGTTTTCAGCGATGGTGTCAATCTAACCTCTTAAATCTGAATTGAATTTAATGTAACGTAATGACTTTTTATAAAGGTACGCCTTCAATTATAAGCTATTCTCTTCATAATATGCCATTGGACCGTATATATTCGGTCAACGACTTAGGAGTTCATCTTGACCCAAAATTAAAATTCGACTGTCACATGAAGTCAACTGTGAACAAGGCTATGAGTGTTCTTGGGCTTATTAAGCGATGGTCGAAATAATTAGGCGATCCTTATACAACTTAATTATAATTTTCTTGCCTTGTCCGTAGTAACCTCGCCATTAACATCTGTCTTAAATTAAATTTACTTATCCCCAGACTGCCAACCTTATATTACAATAACTATGCACTCGACTGTCACATAAAGTCTACTGTGAACAAGGCTATGAGTGTTCTTGGGCTTATTAAGCGATGGTCGAAATAATTAGGCGATCCTTATACAACTAAATTATAATTATCTTGCCTTGCCCGTCGTAACCTCGCCATTAACATCTGTCTTAAATTAAATTTACTTAAACCCAGACTGCCAACCTTATATTACAGTAACTATGCACTCCTGCTGTGCCTATAAATGCACATACCATAACAAAACAAGAAAGAAAGCAAACTTCGGCAAGCCGAAGTTCATATACACTTGCAGCTATTGCAAGAATTTAACATTTTTGAAAACATTAAAATTATGATTTACTTTCGTATATGCTTAAAAACATTGAAGCTATGATGATTTGCAGCTCAATTATTTGATAGTTATTTTATATATTTTTATTATTTCTATGGGAGCTATATGATATAGACGTCCGATTTTGATAAAATTTAAACCATAATTCTGAAATATTTAACCATTGCTATATGTCGAAAAACTAAACAAAAAATTAAAAAACAGAAAAGTTATAATTTTTTTTCATTTATTTTTCCGATTGTTACTATGGGAGCTATATGCTATAGTCGTCCGATTTTGATGAAATTTAAACCGTAATCTGAAATATTAAAATATTACTTTATCTCGAAGAACAAAACAAAAAATTAAAAAACAGCAAAGTTATAATTTTTTTTCATTTATTTTTCCGATTGTTTTTATGGGAGCTATATGCTATAGTCGTCCGATTTTGATGAAATTTAAACCGTAAATCGAAAATATTTAACCATTATTAAACATCGAAGAACTAAACAAAAAATTAAAAAACAGCAAAGTTATAATTTTTTTCCATTTATTTTTCCGATTGTTCCTTTGGGAGCTATATGCTATAGTCGTCCGATCCGGCTTGTTCCGACTTATATACTACCTGCAATAGAAAGACAACTTTTGGGAAAGTTTCATGCAGATAGCTTTAAAACTGAGAGACTAGTTTGCATATAAACGGGCGGACAGACGGACAGACTGACGGACAGACTGACAGACGGACGGACAGACGGACGGACAGACGGACGGACAGACGGACATGGCTAGATCGACTCTACTAGTGATGCTGATCAAGAATATATATACTTTATAGGGTCGGAGATGTCTCCTTCACTGCGTTGCAAACTTCTGACTGAAATTATAATATAACTACTTTCCCAAAAGTTGTCTTTCTATTGCAGGTAGTATATAAGTCGGAACGAGCCGGATCGGACGACTATAGCATATAGCTCCCATAGGAACAATCGGGAAAATAAATTTAAAAAAATTATAACTGTGCTGTTTTTCATTTTTTTTTAGTTCTTCGACATAAAGTAATGGTTAAATATTTCAGAATTACGGATTAAATTTCATCAAAATCAAACGACTATAACAAAAAGCTCCAATGTGAGCAATAAAAATATTTAAAAAAAATTCAAATAATTAAGCTGCAAATCAATCATAATTTTAACGTTTTCCAGAATATTTAATTTTTGCAAAGCTGTAAGGGTATATGAACTTCGGCTTGCCGAAGTTTGCTTTCTTTCTTGTTTTTTTATAAAAAACAGTGCTGTCTTTGGAGGACCTTAAATAAAGTTATCCAACTGCTGGCATGGTTCCGGTCAAATGAGTTGCTGAGAAAAAAGGAAATGTAAAACGGTTAAAGTATTTCCTATGCAATGAAAATAATCAAAAATTAACAATATGTCGTACTTGTGAAAAAGAAAGTGTAGTTTTCTGCGGGAAAATGGTCATCAAAAGGATTGTTTCATTGGTAGAAAATATCGTAGACCATGGATAGTACATATAAGAACACTAATTTTCAATTTGAAATTCTTGATTGGTCAATTTCACGTTGAGATGTAATGTCAGCAATTTTAAAAATGTCAAAAATCCCGTTTTAAGTTCAACGTGTTTATAAACAAACGTTTCACAGTTATGAGCGGTATCTGGTGTGTGTTACATATATATTCTATAGTTACTTTTTGTCGTCAAGTTTGCTTATTTGTACATCATTTGTTATAAGTCTTTGAAGTACTCCAGACTTTATATAAGTTTACTTCTACAATGAGTACAAAAAGAATGCTATAGTCGATACATTCCCCCACAAAATAATCGGAGTTTAGGTGGCGACGTCTGTCGAACTGCACAGCCAACACTTGAAGCTAAGAGCGTGCAGCACTAACAGTTCTTTCGTTCTGTCTCTCTATATGAGCGATAACTGGCAGAGCAGCGGCAGAGGGGCGGCCGAGCAGAGGACTTAATATGCCTATATCTTCTAAAATAATAGCTGGATTTTAAACATCTTTGTTTAAGAATTAGTTGTTATTAAGGTAGTTAAGATATTTCTTGTTAAAAAATTTATAAAAGTTCAATATATGAGACTTTAACCAAGATGTTCTAAAAACTAGGATGAAATGGATTTGGTAATCTGCAGATAAAAGTCGTTTAGAAACATTAGCCTTTATTTAGCCTCTTGATTAAACATTTTGTAACCATTAACAACAATATATAATATATCCAATCGTTTTCTGTTTCGCTTTAACATACGCTGTTTATAGTCCCGATGAGACTTTTAACTACCCCTTGCTAGTACACCGCGTAACGGATAAAAGTATGAGGAAACAAGGAAACGCTTACCATTTTTCTGAAATGCCAAAAGTCTGTTGCCTCCCTAAATATTTTCAAAGCCCAATGCTTTAGAAGAGTCTTTGGGACCATAGTCCATTGTATTTCAGAAAATATTTCTCTTAAAATTGTATGTGTAGTTTGTGTTCCTCTTGCCTGTACTTCGGAGAGACGGTCATAATACTTCACTATTGGCATATCGTAGTCCACCTGCATATTGTGGCAACATTTTTTAAATATTTTAAGCAATGAAATGCTGTTTGGATTATCTTCCGCCAATCGCATTTGTGGCGATATTGGAATAACCCTTGGTACTGTTATGTTAAGAAAACGTCGGCTTGTCTCTTTTTGTTTTTCCAGGTAGTAGTTTAACATGCGCTTTAATTGCAATACTCGTTCTTCTCGGCGAGCATCTCCCAGTCCTGAATCGAGAACCACAAGATAGGGATATATTTTTCCATTCGTACCTCTTATATATAGTCTTCGCGCAGCTGTGTTATTTTTTTGTACTATTTCCACACGTGGCATAAATCGGGCGATTCTAACATAGTAATGAGAGGACAATGGTATCAGCAATTCTCCTGGAAGTTCGACTTCAGCTGTTTTTTGACTAAAGTTTGATAAAAATCTGCATTTGTCTTCAATCAAAAATGATGTCGGTAATTTTTTAACCTTTGTTTCAAGAACTTTTATCCATGTTTTTAATTTTGTTATTAAATTGTGCAACTTCATAGCACCTGGCTTTGTAAAATCGAAGTCATTAGTGAATTGTTCCTTCATTTTTTGAAACACTGGGTCCTGAAAAGTTACTTGAGCTCGTCGGGCCAAAGATTCGGAGGCTGCTGAGTTAGATATTGATGAGGTCACAGATCCTGGAACATTTTCTATGCCTATTCCAAACGTGGAACCAAGCTTTTTAACAAAATGCAATGTGTGGGGGGTTATAGTCGAATGGACAACAGTATTCCTGTTCTCAAATGCTATGGCATAGCATTTTATCAAACCTTGGCGTAGTTGTCGAAGAACTTCCTCTGTCCAACTTTCCCTAAACCAAACCATTTGGTCTACAATTCCTTCCAAGGAACTTAATATTGTCGGATGTACTTCTCTTTGTAATTGCATAACTTTGGAGCAACGCCACATGGGAGGTGTTGCTTTTATAGGATTTACCGATGGAATATTTCCGTAATTAGTTCTTCCACAATTTGAAGCAAGGCCATCCATATTCTAAAAAAAAAAAGAAATAAATACAATTATAAAATCGTTTATAAAGTCGGCAAAGACAATATAATTTGATATTCAAACAAAAATAGAACAAAAGCTAGCTTCGGCAAGCTGAAGCTAATGGATGGATTCGAAATTATATTAAACCATTTAGTAGGAAAAAATCGCAATATATATATATACATGTCTGAAACTTTTAATTTTTGGCCCGCTATTAGCAAAGCAAATGGACCCAAATTTGTTGTATTTATTCTTTGAATATTTATTAACAAATTTATATAAGAAACATTAAAAAATTCTATAACTCTTTTAGATAGGAAATAAAAACAGACAAAGACATTTTTATCGATAAAAAATGTCTTAAGATAAAGCTCATTTCTATTTCGGTGGTTACGTCAAAAAGCAGAATTGCCGCATTTGGGGATCCGAGAAGAGGCCATCGCATTCACAACGATTGACTGTCTGTTGCGGTACGTGCCACACAGTCAACGTTACAGAACTTAAACTTCCCAATAATAACCAATCCCATCCCAGCCCGCAGGCCGGTAAGACGGCACCAAAGCACCAAGTTCCAAAAGATGAAGCAGAAGGTGCAAAGTCGCCCCCTAGACTGGCGCAACCGACCGAACTATCATATGGCAAGAGTACCGAAAGGTCAGAATGGTTAGGTTCCTTCAGCTTAACCTGAACCATTGCAGAGCAGCACACGATCTGCTCACACAGGCGGTGATCGGCATGCGCTTAGAAATAGCAATCCTAAGAGAACCATACAAGGCAAAAAAGAAGGTGTCTGGCAACAAGGACTGATGCTGACGCAGCCATATGGAGCTGTGGGGAGCCCCGGGACACATCTTGGGACTTGGGATGCAGATTGTAGTAGTTCCTACGCTATAGTATGCGCACATATCGGGTACACTCCTTATACCAATAAACTCTTTTTAGCTCTTTGCTGCAATAAATATATGTTGCAGCGTTGTTATTATTTTTCGACATTGTAATAGCGCAGCAAGTTTCGGTTTCACACGCACGAAATCCTGAACGCAACTACCAGCGTCATCCCTTCTTCTTTCTGTGCTTACCACCGAACCACACTCGGCGACAGCGACACAACACTGTCGCCCCGCTAAAACGGTACTTCTTAAGCGACAATACACATACAACCAAACAAAGCACCGTTAGAGGCTGATGCAATATTACTTTAATGATGAAATTAGTCTTCTGGAATTTTCCAGAGACTGTATACCCATACACTCATACCAACATCCACACACTCTTAGTGTGCGCCGACATATACAAGGTCCAACGGACAGCATATTTCCAAGAGCATGTGTACTATGAACACCCGACTGTCGCTGTGTCGGCATGTTGCACACACAAAGGCCGACTACTTAAATACAATATACATGTCCGGCCCACTGCATACCCCTCAACTCAAACTAGCTATAAACGAATATTAGTATATGCATAAGCAATTAATGAATAACAAGTGGTATATATTAATCTTTGTATCTTAGTGCCCTTAGACTTGACTGGCTACCAGCGAGGTGAATTTATGAACAATTGCATTGACAGCATTTTCTCCGCTGTGCAGAAAGGTCTGTCAACCAGTTAAAGGATAAATAAAAGAAGTAAAAGAAAGAAATAAAAAGCTGAACAGCTAATGAACCTATTGAACTCAACATGGAATTTATTAATAATAAATTGGAACAGAATAATATTTACATGGCGATCGTGATGAAAGTCTGCAAAACTTTTGATGACACAGGAAACGCATAACGGAACTAAAAGGATACAAAAAAATCAGAGCGAGTAGAGTATAGAGTGGCGGATAAAAAATTGTGAAAAAAACAAACACAAATAAAATGAAAACCCAAAGAAGGGGAGGCTTACGGAAAAAAAATTTCCGTAGGATAGCCGAAATTAGAAACGCACTAAGTGCATTGGGACGAGACATACGAGCTACAAAAAGACCTTGAGTTCCTAAAGGAAAAAAATACTAACCACGCACTTGAAATCAAAACCAAAAAAATCATTGTTATTTATGGAAATAAAATTAACAAACTGAAATCAACAGAAACACCAAAAGAGCTCCAAGTACAGGAAAGACGTCGCCCACCGAACTGCGAAGAACCCTGGACGCCGGCGTGCGAATTTACATGCATAGAAAAAGCCAGCGCAAGAAGCCCGCACCGGTGTCGCGGGAGCCCAGAGGCCCCGGACAAGTGAACCGACAGCGCTTCCAAGGGCGTCCAACAATAAAACATTTTTTTTTTTACATATGTAATATAATGCACTGTGATGCATAGTAGGCTACAACAAAATATTTTAATTTAGGGAAAGTTTCATGCAGATAGCTTTAAAACTGAGAGACTTGTTTGCGTAGAAACGGACGGACAGACGGACAGAAGGACTGACGGACAGACGGACATGACTAGATCGACTCTATCTGATCAAGAATATAAGTTAACACGGTTTCACAGCAACACGGAAGTTCCCAAGCTGATCATGCACACCTACAGACGTTGCACAACGACGTTGCCAAAATCCCAAGCTTCGGTCAGCGCAATCAGCCGGGTCAGCACTTCTGGGGTACAGGGCTAGCTTTTGTTATAAGAATTAATGTGCTTAGCAGTTAGTTGAATTTTGGAAATAAAGCGTGATGGCCAAACCTCGCAATTACAAAGACTTCTCATTCGTGCAGTACCGTGCGTCTTAAAATAAATCCTTAAACAGGACATATAATTAATTAACACCCAACGCGTCGGAAGACCCTTAAACAGGACATAAAATTAATTAACACCCAATGCGTCGTAAGACCTTCGACCCGTGTTAAATAAAAAAAACAACGCGTCGTAAGACCCTCGACCTTTGTACAAAAAAACGCGATCGTAAGACCCTCGATTCGACTTTTAAATAAAAAACAAGAAAGGAAGCAATCATACCCTTGCAGCTTTTGCAAAAATTAAATATTCTTGAAAGCATTAAAATTATGATTGACTTGCTTTTATTTTAATAAAATTAAAAGCGCAATTCTGAACAGTCAAAGTATTTATTAATCAAAATTAATTTCTAAAAAATTACAAAATAAAAAAAATAAATTTAAATACATTTTTTTTTATATATTTATTGTTCCTATGGCAGCTATATGTTATAGTCGTCCGATTTTGATGAAATTTAAACCGTAATTCTGAAATATTTTACCATTACTTTATGTCGAAGAACTAAAAAAAAAATTTTAAAAACAGCAAAGTTATAATTTTTTTTAAAATTTTTTTCCGATTGTTCCTATGGGAGCTATATGCTATACTAGTCCGAAGGGGCTCGTTCCGACTTATATACTACCTGCAATAGAAAGACAACTTCTGGGAAAGTTTCATGCAGATAGCTTTAAAACTGAGAGAAACTGAAATAATATTAAGTCCCTGCCGGACTTTGAGGGAAAGAATGAGACATCATACGTTTAATGGATAAAAGCGGCGCATACCGCCCTTAAAGTATTCGAAAAATATGATGGTAGTTCCAAACACTACCAAGCTTTAGGCATTCTCCGAAACAAAATAAAAGGCTCAGCCGATATTGTTTTTTCGTCGTTCGACACGCCTTAAAATTTTAAAAATATTATTAATAGGCTTGACTTTACATACGCGGACAAACGACGGATATTTAATAGAACAAGAGATGTCAACACTCCGTCAAGGAAACCTGATACTTCTGCAGTACTTTGACGAAGTAGAGAAAAAACTGACTGCTAATAAACAAGACAATTATGACTTACGAAAACACCGTAGCTGCCTCACTAAACGAAAAATACAGAGCAGATGCGCTACGAGTATTTATTTCGGGCACAAGAAAATCGCTTAGCGACGTTCTTTTTTCGGCAGGACCAACCGATTTTCCTTCCGCTTTAGCATTAGCCCAAGATGTAGATGCTAATCATGAGTGATATGTTCGCAAGTAGTTTTGCACGTAGCAAGTTTAACCCAAATGCTAAAAACCCCCATTTTAATAAAATACCACCAAGACAGCCACACAGACAGGATCCGACACAACCAATGGACGTTGATCCCTTATTATCCCGTTTTAGACAACCAACCCAAAACCAACAAAGTGGACCGTTTTCAAAGCAAATTCAAAACACTTACCAAAATATTCAACCCAACGGTAACAATAATCAGGGACAGACGATTAAAAGGCTCAATAGTAGTAGCGCTAGATATACAGGACCAAAAGACCGGAGGATAAACCATCTGACTGTAGAAAACGACCCACCAAGTGATGAATACCCGGCAGTAGCCGAAGAGGAATGTGGGAACATCGACGATGACCTTGTCGAATACGATGAAATCAATTTTTTATGCATAACTCCCTGTTCCCATTCATAGAAAGGGATATCGCAGGGTTAAAAATAAAACTTTTAATTGACACAGGGGCTTCCAAAAATTACATCAAATCTATGAAAGAATTAAAAAACGTTATTTTCGTAAATAAACCATTCTCAATAAAATCAATTCATGGTCACAACACACTAAACAAAAAATGTATAATGCACCTTTTTAATACAAATACATTTGTCTTGCTACCAAACTTAACAATGATTGAATAATTGGACTGGACCTACTAAAAGAAACTGACGTCGTACTTGACCTAAGAAAAAAAAAGTTAATAACTAATAGCAGTCGGAGGAAATTAAATGTGTATTTGCAGAGCCAAACGAAGCGCTGTGGTACAATACTAACATTATTGGTCCTATCCGGACAGAAAATGAAGATCCGATATATTCAAAATTGTACCCATACCCGATGGGCGTGTCCGACTTTGTAAATACAGAAACACACAAGCGATGTTACGAGACGGCATAATCCGACCATCTCGGTCTCCATATAACAACCCTGTTTGGGTTGTAGATAAAAAAGAAACCGATGAACAGGGAAACACAAAAAAAAACGCTTAGTAATAGACTTCAGAAAGCTTAATTTGAAGACAATAGATGACAAATACCCGCT